TAACTAGGAATATTTGACGTGAAGAAAAGATTAAGTGGTATTTGACAGGAAATTCTATTGGTAGTGATAGAATTGGGGCAGATACATGACTGCAGTTTTATATTTGAAGGATTGTCATGGATTAGAGCAAGGCTTCTTAAACTTTTTTTTTCATCTATGTGTACAATGCTCTCCTTTAGTAGTCTGATGAAACTGTGGACCCCTTCTCAGAACAATGTTATTAAACCGCTTAAAATAAAATACATAGGATTGCAAAATAAACCAATTACATTGAAATAGTTATAAAAATATTAAAAACAAATTCACAGGCTCTCTCTTGAAATCTACCCATTGACCCTTCAAGTTGTCCGTGAACCCCAGGTTAAGAATTCTTTGATTAGAGGGATTTTGTTTCTTCTGATTTATCATGGCAGTATCAGTAGAAATTGCAGAGAAAGAAGTTTCATATAAATATAAGCAATAATAGAAGATCTGCCTAAGCTTCAGTTTTCTCATCTTTAAAATGGAAATAATAAAAGCACTTACTTCCCAAGGTTATTGTGAGGATCAAATGGGATAATACAGGTAAAGCATTTTGCAAATTTTAAAGCACTACATGTTTGCTTGCCACTATTGTTTCCCCTCCTCTTCTTCTTCCAAACATTTAGAGCTATTCATTTTCAAAGAGAGGCTGGATGTCTACTTTCAGGGGAAATGAAAGCAGCAATTCCTACATAGGTAGTGGCTAATCTACATTTTTGTTGTTTAATTTCTGAAAGTAACATATTGAATCCATACTCTAAGGGGGAAAAAGCAAGCTTCACAAAATAGGGAATCTCGGAAATCTCACTTTCATGTGTTCTTTTCTCACTGCTCCACTTTTTCCACTTACTGTTAATGAATTTCTTCATTATTTATTTGGGACTAGATAGCCTCTGGGGTCCCTTCTAACTCAAACATTCTGTGATTGTAAGAAGTGAGGTGCTGGCCCGTCATCCACATCAAGGCACATAGCTGTGAATGGTCCCCTATGATCAACACTAGGCCCTCTTTTTTCCCTACGACGCGTCCCTACCAGTTCCCATAAATTTAATTATTTCCTTGTTGATGACCCATAGATTTCTATATCCAGCCTCAGTCTCTCCCCTGAGCTTCAGTACCATGTCACCAGTTGCCGTTGGGCATTTCAAATATCAGAGACATCTTAAATTCAACATGTCTAAAACTAAACTCATTATCTTTCCCCCTAAACCCACTCCTACTCCTCTTCTAAACTCCCCTATTTCTGTTGAAAGCTCTTCCTTTCTTCTCGTTACCCAGGTCCATAGCTTCAGTGTTAATTCTTAACTTCCTATCTTCATCCAACATACTGAATTGATTTCTGAATCTTGCCACTCAGAACATTTCTTACATACAACCCCTCCCAGTACACACACAGTACTTCAGGATTTTTTCACTCCTTGCCGAGATTATTTTCATGGTCTCCAAACTTCTCTCCTAGTCCGAAATCTCTCGCCGTTCCAGTCTATCTATTCTCAACACTGTTGCCAAAGTGATTTTCCTTAAGTGTAGCTCTTTACATGTCTCTCCTACTTCAAAAACAAAACAAAACAAAACACAACCGCAGTGACACACTCTGTTATCTATAGAATCAAATATGAATTCTTATGTTTAGTTTTTAAACTGCTTCACAGTCAAGCTCCAATTTATCTTTCCAGCCTTATTAGATATGATTCTTACTCTTCTACACTCTACAATTCAGACAAACTGACTTTCTGTTGCTTAGACACGGCAATCCACCTTTCATTTGTGTGTCTTTTCACTAGCCATTTTCTAAGCCTGAAATGTACTCCCTTTTCATTTCCACCTCATAGACTCTCTTCCTTTAAGATGAAGCTCAACTACCAGTTTCTACATGAAGCCTTTTGCAATATTTAGAACATTGAACCTAGAGTCAGGAAGATCTGAGTTCAAATCCAGCCTTAGCCTTTTACTAACTCTACAACCCTGAGCAAGTCTATTATCCTCTCTGTCTGCTTCAGTTTCCTTTTCTGTAAAATGGGACTAATAACAGAAACTGCCTTCTAAGATGGTTGTGAGGACGAAATGAGATAATATTTATAAAGTGCTTAGAAAATCTTAAACATTGTATAAATGCTGTTGTTATTATTCCAACTGCTAAATGCCTTACCTTTCAAACTGCCTTGTGTTTCTCTACTTTGTTTATTTTCTTTATATCTATTTTGTATATTCTTATATGTGTACTTTTTGTCTCTTCTGTTATAATATAAGCTTGCTTCAAGTAGGGATTGTTTTGTTCTTTGTATTGGGATCCCCTTATAATAATTTAGTATTTGAAATATAGTATGTACCTAATAAATGCTTGTTGATTGATTATACACATATGTCAAAATGTATTCATCCACATGAGTCAGTACTCCAAAGTAGTCCCATCAGACAATGTACTTATTTCAGTGATGCCACTATTTCTTTCTTTCTTTCCTTTTTTTTTTTTTTTTTTTGGCTAGGTAATGGGGTTAAGTGACTTGCCCAGGGTCACACAGCTAGTAAGTGTCAAATGTTTGAGGTTGGATTTGAACTCAGGTCCTCCTGACTCCAGGGTCAGTACTCTATCCACTGCACACCTAGCTGCCCTTATGGTGCTATTTCTTAAAACATTTCTGAAACTCCTCTTTAGAAACCACCTTTCTGAGTCAGATATGCAGTCCATTGCATTGCTTTATTTTCGGTTTCTGTTGTTTTACAATTTGTTTTCTTTTTATTTTGAACTTAACAAATACCAAGTAAAATGAGCATTTTCATACACAATGTGGAACAGAAGGAGAGGATTATACATGAGATTGCAAATCTCTGTAATGTAAAATTTGCTTTTATTTTAAAGTACATAACAAATTGAATGTGTAACTTTCAAAGTGATTCCATCTGGCCTGCCTTCTGTTCTCTTTTTATTTTTTTGTTGGAGGTGGTGGTGGTGGTTAATGTTGGAGAAAGAAACCTATCTTTACCCCCACTTTGATCCTCTATTTAAAAAAAAAACTTGCATGAGATTTCATAGGTGGGACAGGAAGACCTGAGTTTGAATCCTATCTTAGACATTTATGGCTGCGTGCCCCTGGCAAGTCACTTAATAGCTTTCACCTTTAGTTTTCCCATCTGTGAAATGATGATAATAATAGCACTTACCTTACGGGTTGTTGCGAGGATTAGCTGAGATAACATGGAAAGCACTTTGCAAACATGTGTAATATTTTATTTTGAAAGTACTTCTGAAGACCATAAAAATAATTACTGGGTGCACCTGTCTTTGTACATAGTAGGCACTCAACACATATTTTCTGAATGTAGGAATGCATGGATTTTTCTAAGCTTTTTCTCCCATTGACCTCAAAATTGATTAAGTTGCCTCGTAACAATAGTGTATTTCTAAAAATTTCTCTTTTACAGAAAGGCAAATCGAGACATAGGTGTCATGACTTTCCTATGGTGAACTGGCAGTTATGATTGAGAAGCCACGAACTTAAGAACCCTGTCACTCTCAAGCTACCAGAATCATAGCTATAGGCTACAGAATACCTTACATTGAAAAAGGCTCTTGGCCTTGCCTTTTCACCCATTTCTCCAAAGATTTGTTTGGAAAATATTTATGATTTCTCTGCTTCTAGTATGACATTATATAAACATACACCTTTTATGAGACAACCATGGCATAGGTGTCAAAAATCCATCTTTCTGTATCCCAAATAATTCTTAGAATCGACAACTGAAAATACTGAAGAATTCAGAGGAGCCATGACTTTTTCTTTTTCTTTTTCCTTTCTTTTTTATTGTATAAGACATTTAAGGAAATTCACCAATACTATTTTTGATAATGCTGTGAAATATTTTTCTATGGAATTCCATAGTGGGTCATTTTTATACTACAGGGTATTACTTATCTTTGTAAAATGTTTCACTTAGAAGAAAAAACCAACAATATATAGTTATAATTACACATTCTTTTCCAAGGCTTCCTTTGGTCTCTTTTAGCGGCTTCTGATTATATGCCTTCTTTCATTATATCCTTTATAAACTGAATATCATCTGGTCAAAATACCCACACTCCCTTCAGTTTCTTTCTTCAAAATCTATTCCCTCCCCCAAACTTATTTGATTACTGTCCTAATACACTAGTTCTTCTGGTATTCATATCACCTATATATTCAGTACTATGTGATTTCATCTTGTATCTTTTTCTTAGCCTTTAAACTTGTCATGGCAAAATTGTATTCCTTGGTATATTTTATGGCTCTCTCAGAACCATGTATATTCATTGTGATACATAAATAATATAAAGGTAATAAAATATTAGGCAGTAATTTTTCATTTAGGTGGTAAATTTTCCAAATTTCCATTAGAACCAGAGTGAATCATGAAACCAAATCCTTAGAGCTCTACCAGTATTAGTGAATTTACATCCAGGATTGATTAATCTCCAGCTATGAATAATTTTTATAGATCTGGGGCATGCAGAACAGCTATTCCTGATGGACACTGGTGAAGGGGCCAGGTGGATGGATATATAGATCATTACATCTGGACTTTTCTGGGTATCCATGACAATTTATGACATAACCTTAAGAATTAAGGTATAACCACCAACTGTAGTGCCCATAATTTGGATATTTCTATCAGGAAACAATCCTGCGAGTGTTTCCCAAAGATTCACCCTTACACAGATGTATATGAAATCTATCACTTATTAATATATTGTTTATGGGAGAACATGAAACCAATATAATTTTATTGGGAGAATTTTTAAAATAGTAACTGGGATTTTCCTGAAAATGCAATAATAAATGATGATCAAGTATTGGGATAGTAAGTCAGATTAATGTGTGTGTGTGTGTGTGTGTGTGTGTGTGTGTGTGTGTGTGTAGGGTGAGGTTATTTTTCCTGTCCAATGGAAACAATTGGTATATATCATGTTGTCATTGAATAAGGCAGAAAGATTTTTCCTTTACCTGTTGTTGACCTGATAGTTGAGGTGATGTTAGAAGATGTCATTGCAGGAATACATTCATCATCTTGGGAGTAACCAGCCTGAATGGCTCTCAGATAACTGTGACTTCTCGTTCGGAAGCAACCAGGAAGGTCTAGGGCATCCATGGCCTGAGATTCAACTTCACTAAAGACTGATTCACACACCGATTCAAACTGCCCGTTGATCTCAGCTTCACTCATCTGGGATAAATGACAACAGTGAGTTGATACTTGGATCTCATTGATAGGCATCTTTAATATGTTCCCAAAGGCATATAAAGTAGATATAAAGATTCATCCCATTACACTGAAAATTTTATAGACTTATACTTTCAACATAACAAACATGAAATTAGCATTACATGATCTGACAAATTTGAGAAAACAACTTCCTAGAGGCATCTAAATGGTGCAGTGGATAAATTACTGAACCTAGAATCAGGAAGATTTGAGTTCAAATCCCACTTTAGCCATTTATTAGCTGAGACCCTTAGCTCATCTCTTAACTTCTGTCTGCCTGTTTCCTCATCTATTAAATGGTGATAATAGCATTGATTTTCTAAGATTATTGTTGAGATAAAATGATAAGACTTGTAAAGCACTCTGCAAATATTAACATGCTATATAACATGCTATTATCTATTTATCTAAATGTTGAGGATATTACACAAACTGAAACTTCATAAAATCCTTTTGAACCTACCAAATAAAGCTTTCAGATTGTGATTTCTGAATTTGGAGATCGAACTGTGTGTACCTCAAAGAGTAAAAGAAATGATTTTGTGTTATCACAGTCGAATGATCTCTATAAGCATTACAACCTAAGAAATATGTGCAAATTCTTACTCTTTGGATAACAGAAGAGTTTATAATTAGGTCATATATACTGATTTCCACTGAAAGGATAGCAAGTTTGAGTCACAATGAAATGTTCTGAATTATAAATCCATATCCTTTGGGAGAAAAATAAAAGCAAATGTTGGTTTGTTGTCCCCTAGCTATACACCTATTCATTCAGAGAAGTCAGTGGGACTGCCTCTTTATAATATTTCTGTGTTTAATTCGTGGCCTAGTTTCTCAGGTAAATGTGTCGTTTCCAATTTTGTGTCTCAATGAAGTACAGGATAAAATGACTTTTGATGATTCCAAGCTTAATGAGTTTTTGTGTATTTTTCCTACATTTGCAACATTGAACTCAAATTTCAGGTGGTGTTTTCCTAGATTGTTTGGTGCAGTCTTTATACTGAGTCCAAGTTTTATAGAATAAATCCTTTTATTAAGGGGATTTGTACTGTGAAGTTTGGATTCAGTCAGAGGACTGCACTTGAGGACCTAGCGGACCATATGTGGCCTCGAGGCCGCAGTTTCCCACCCCCGTCCTAGAAAAATAACTTAAGTTTTTTTTATTACGATTCTGGCATTGTAGCTAACTTTGTACAGGTCTTATCGCTTCAACTAGACAATAAACTAAGCAGGAAGAGTTCCATGTTTCTATGTGTCCCTTAGATTGTTAAACATAGGGATTCACACTTATCCAATTAATAATTAATTAGTTCTTCTATTCATATCTATTTTGAAGGAACTCTCCACCCTATATCTCAAAGCCCCTACTGATTCACTGTATAATCCTAGATCCCCTGAGGGAAACATAGGTTTGTGACCCTTTCTTCAATTCAGTAGCCTCCTCTGGATGCCCTCCAATTTATCAACAAGTTTCTAAAACATGGCAGTCAGAAAAGAAGACAATACTCCAGAGGGTCTTCAGGGCTATCATCTCCCCAGCCCTAAACACTATGCCTCTCAATGCAGCCTAAGATTGTGTTAGTGTGTGTGTGTGTGTGTGTGTGTGTGTGTGTGTGCTGCCACATAATATTGTTGACTCATATTGAACTTGTATACCACTAAATGTTTTTTTCATTTAAACTTTTGTCTACCCATGATCTGTCAATTATGACCTTATACAGTTTAGTTTTTGAGCTTCAGTATATCTTAAATTGATCTCGATTAAATTCAGTCTCATCTGATTCAGTTCAATAGTCTGGCTTGTTATAATTTTTTGGATCCTACCTCTGTCATTCAAATCATTAGCTATCCCTCCTAGCTTAATGTCATCTGAAAATTCAACAGACATGCCATTTATTCCTTTATCTAGATAACAATGTTGAATAGTACAGAATCAAGAACACACCTCACAGACAGGTCCATTAGAGACCTGCCTTCTTCCAGCTTGACACTGAGCTATTAATAATCCCTTTTGGGGTCCAGTAGTACAATTAGTTCTGAATCCATCTAAAATTTCTGTTAATTAGTCCATATCTATGCATCTTCTCTGCAAGAATATCAGGAGCGACTATTATCATTATTATTATTTGCTGAAATATAGGTATGTCACGATTATAGCATTTTCCTAAGCTACTGATCTTGTAACCTTATTAAAAGAAAGAAATGAAGGTAGTCAGGCAATAACTAATTAGAATGTGATTACTGTGTAGAAGAGGTACTAACAAAATACTCTGAGAGATTTAAGAAACTAGAGCTTAACACAATTCTTGGCTCATAAAACATGCTAAATAAATGCTTGTTGATTGACTGACTGCATTGATGGGCACCAGGGAAGGCTACACAAAAAGGAGGTAGCATTTATTCAAGATGACACAAAGGCCCAGATGGAGTGATAAGTAGTCCATTTTGACTAGAAAAAATGGTATATGAAAGGGAGTAATGAAAGAGAATGCTGGAATGGGAAGCAGGAGTCAGACTAGTAGGGATGATTGTCTTGCTAGACCAGAAATTAACCATTTCAACAGAATGATACCCCCAATTCAGCTGAATGAGATTTGGATGCATAACCCTTTCCCAATATTTGTGCACTATAGGCATATTACAATGATATCCTATCAATGTTAAACTCAAATGTAGATTCCTATATATGCCAATATCTGATGGATTTAGAAATGTATCAACAGAAAATAACAATGTAGGATAGATAAGATAGTGCTGGAGATAGCTAGATTATGAAAAAGATCTAAAAAGATGAACAAGATGAAACAAATGTGATGTGTTTTATTTGATTTCAGTGTATCTGAATGTGTGTGTATGTGTGTGTGTGTGTGTGTGTGTGTGTGTGTGTGTGTAGGTGTTTTAGGTGACCCAGAAGACAATAGAGAGATACATGGTAGGTATCTGAGAGCAATATATTCCCACTGATAATTGTGTACAAGAAATGCTGTAGAAGATATCAACAGTAGCATGTTTCACTAAAAAAGGAGATGAGTCAGGCATGCCTCAAGTTAGGATAACATGCTAAGGATTGATCGGATATTCTTTGAAATATTAGATTCAGGAGAAAGTTGCCACTGTGCTGGGTGATTTCTACATGGTGGATTTTTGGAAATACCTCGACAGAAATACACAGGACAGGGTGAGGATGAATTATATGCACATGCACACCAATGAAATCATAGCTACACTGTGCTCTTGAAATGCATTATGTTACTGTTTTTGTTAAATTAAGCAGAGTACAATCTAGAGAGAATTATCTAGAAAAGTTATCTTGTCTAGATAGCAGAAAGGCAGAGAATATATCTAAAAGCCTGGATTTTCTAGGGTAAGCGATTTAGCTTCAATCCCTGGGTTGCACCTGGAGGCCACTATAGAAGTGACCTGAAGGTACTGTGAAAATGATGAGAAAGAAGTATTTTGTGTTTTATTTCATTTTACATTATTGATTAGGGAGAGTGGAGGACAGGTGGCCCAAACGTCAGTGGAAGGATTTTATTTTATTTTTTAATAGCCAGGGAATGAGAGTTATCTGTATTTATTATCCTTAAATGGCCTGGGGGAGTGAGAAGCAAGGTGAGATAACTAGATACTAGGTAATTGTTATATGGTAGAAAGACATAGGACTGGAAGTTAGAACATTTTCAGTCCTTGACTTACCTCAGGCTATCTGGGAGACCTCATATAGGTCTCTTTATCTCTGTGTGCCTCAGTTTCCTCATCTGTAAAACCAGGAATTTGGACTAAATAACCTTCCAAGTCTCTTTTTGCTCTAAAAGTGTCTCAGATATTTTAGGCTTAACAAAGAACTATCCCTTCAATCAATTGGTTAATCAAAGATTTATTAAGTACTTACTATATGGCAGGTACTATATTAGGTTCTGGGAATACAAAGAAAAAAGTGAAACATTTCCTACTCTCAAGGGGCTAACATTCTATTAGCTATAGATAGACAGGAGGAGGTTCATAGGGGAGCAATATGTACACATATGAACATATGAAAATAAAGAAAATGAATGAAAGGTTATTTTTTGAAGGGGGAACAGAGAGGAATTGGCAGATAGAGGAATTAGGAAATATGCAGGAGGTGGTACGTGATTTGAGTTTTGAAGCAAATTAGAGATTCAATGAAGCTATAATAACAGTTTGGTGGCTTAGTGGATAGAATACTGGGCCTCGAGTCACAGAAGCCTAAGTTCAATTATAGCCTCGTATACTTATTAGGTCTGTGACCCTGTGCAAGTCATTTAACCTGTATTTGCCTCAGTTTCCTTATCTGTAAAATGGGGATAATAATAGAACCTACCTCCCTGGGTTGTTGTGAGAAACAAATGGGAAAACAATTGTAAAATGCTAAGCACAGTGCCTGGCACATAGTAAGTATTATGTAAATGTTAGCTATTGTTAACTATGATTATTAATAATTTCAGACCATGAAAATACTACTCATTAACTAGAAACTATACCTGTGATTTTGTAGAGATAGAAGAATAGGCATATAGCTTATGAGTTAACTGATACAGTATTCTTTTGATTACTTTTTTGGCATTAAAATTGTTCCAGATTTTTTCTGTGCTTTTGATATCTTCCTCTCCTTCAGATGCCTTGTTCCTGAATGCCCCTAAAATTCTGTCACCTCCAGTACAGATCTCCTTTATGTATACTTGGACAAATTTGTCTGTTTTTCTTGTTTTTATTTCCTCTATTGCCATTTCTACCTCCTCTATAAGCACCTCAGTTACTGTGTTGTTAGGGTCCAAGTGTGGCTACAGTTTGTTGAAATGATTTTTGAAAGGTTTGTCCAGTTTACTTCTGTCTAAATCTTTCCATTTTCATTCTTGAATGCTCTTAGGATGACTTTGCTTAGTTGGATATCTCGCCAGGGTTTCTTTAACCTGAATTTACCCTCCACCATTTCTCTC